TGGCCTTGGCAGGTGGTCACCACGTCATTTTCTTTGCCAAATTTAATTAAACTCTTTCATTTAGCATTTTATATTGAGATGGTAAAGAGAAAGAACTGCAATCATTTATCTTTATTCAAATGTACAGAATATTCTGTATATTTTAATGAAAAACAGGTACCTTTAGAGAAAGTCTACCAAATCTTTTACAAACGTATAAGGAAAATGCCAAAGAATGCCAAGCATATTTTGTAATAATTTGAGAAAATTATTTTTATATAATAAAAATGTCATTGTTGAATTAACAAATACTCTTTAAAGTTTATTAAACATGTTTTGACATTATGAGGTTGTTTAGTACAGATTTACTCAAAATAGAACATTTAGTTGTAACATAAACCTTGAAGTTAAGTGGTCAGTTTAATAAAATAGAGTTTCCTTAGTTACCGTAGGACAAATTGTATTTCTTTGCAAGCCAAGAAGGGGCCTTCGAGGAAAGATTAAGCAAAGAGACCTAGGCAGGTTTATTACACAGGCCTGTGCACCAGACAGGTTTTAAGAGAGAAAACCCTTGGTATCAGAGAATAGCAAAGTTTTCAACTGCAGTCTACAGCAGCATACTAAAAGTCTGAACATTCCCTTTGCTGGGCATTTAAACTGAATTCCGAGTCCAGGGGAAACGGATAAACTATGATATCTCGGGGTGATTCATTTTTGCTGGTCACATTTTGTTAACAAACCATGTCCTACACAAGTTCTTAAAAACGGCCATGAAAGTGAGCAAAGTGAGCTCCACAGAGCAGACAATGCAATTTAAAGTCCGGCTTTATGATTCATGATAAACATTTTTGCTTAAAGGCCTGATGGAAGGTAAATGGAAATCTATCATCACGAAGATGTCTCTTTGTGCCAGCTTCATTGTCCCTGAGTTTGGTACTGAGCTGTGTTCTCCCTGCCGTGTTAATGGAGGTCACTGTGGTACCGTCGTTCGCTTCCTCTCACTGAAGGAGTTCTTTGCAGTTGGCTACTGAGAAACAAAATGATGTGGTGTCTAGGCTCTCACCTTCAGCTTGTGCACCTTTAAAGCAACATTGATTAACAGGACTTTTACAAAGTTTCTGTGTAGCTACAAGGACAGTTTCAATCTTCTGTCATTTTTTTGCATTAGCTATGATTATGCTTTTACCACAAAAATGCATTTGTTTTAAAGGTAACAATACCGCCTGGGAGAAGAGCTTATGTTTCATCTATATTTATCAGCACTCACTGTACATTTGTGTCTTCATTACCAGGAAATATTAAGGGACATTGTGCCATCTATTCCTGTTTACAGTTTATTATGCAGAGATAGGAAACACTTAGCATGTAAAATGAATGTAGAAATTATTCCTGGATAGAAACACGGACATTTCCCACTCGTTGGCTCTTTCTCCTCCATCACCGGATCAGAGTGTAATTGTCAGTAATCAGGCCTGCTTGCTGCTGATAAAACCACTCTGAATGCTAGCAGCCTTCTTTGTGTGATGACTCAATTATTCCAGAAGTGCCTCATCAAATCTGCCCCATCAGCTGGGCTAATAAATAAGGAGAAGAAACTGGCCCCCCAAAGCAAATTATAAATCCATTTGCATTAACCATTTCGCTGGTCCATGATCTAGGCAGAAATAAGCATGGCAGATTGTGTTAAGCTTATTTGAATATGTTTATAATATTTACAGCATGCAACTTCCCCCCTCCCCCCACAAGGTGTTCGAATTATCCGTCACAAATGGCTTCTAAATGCTGTTATGTTAATGAAATCCAGACTTTAAGCATCTTTGAGGCTATTCTGTGACTTAAATCAGGTGAAAAGTACATTCTTTTGCAGGAGGAACTATGGATCTGTGCAAGTTATTAGAACTACTTCAGAGTTTACGGAGAAGAGGCCTGTGTTTTATTTTCAAAGGCACAAGATGCAAATACGAAACTACCCCCTAATATACACACAATGACTTCATCTCTATCACCATAGAAACCACACGTTATTTGTATGACATTTAATAACCTGCAAAGCAAAAATCGTATTTTCCCAAAGTAGATCAAAGTCACTGTAGCACTCTTTGTGTACTTAAAATTCCTTGAAAGAGTCTATAGACATGAAAAATTTTAAACTGGGCAAACTAATGAATTCAATTAAATCCATCATTGGAAATACTGTTGATTTGACAAATTTTATTTTAATCTTCTTTTCAAATGTCAAACTCATATGAAGAGCAACAATCATTTATATTTGAACTCCATTGGTGACTCATGGGTACACAAAATACTAAAATGGATCATAAAAGTCAATTTGGTTATTAACATCAAAAATAGTCTTGCTAGATAGGTAATGACTGGAAATATAAATATCCTCCCTAAAAATTAGTGATGTCACTGACCCACTTTGCATTTTGAGTTTTTCCTTGTAGAGAGGTGACAGTGCTGCTGAAGTGACACATTCTCTTTTCTCTCCCCCTCTGATCAAGACAATAACGATGGGATGCTGGTTAGAGTGTTTGTATCCAAAACAGTCTTCGAGATTATCGAGATACACATAGAAATACAGCTATATCGATCTGTGTCATACAGCAATGTCTTCTCGACAGAGCCCCCCAAAGAAAAACAAAACAAAACACAAGCACACTGCCATCCTGTCTGTCATGTCCATTCTGTCATAGTGACCCTGAAGGGCAGACGGTAGATATGTATTTCTAGAAACCTACTTAAATAAAACTCACTACTGCACATCAGCTGCTCTGGCCCAACTAGTCTTCCCTTACATAACCCGTGAAGCCACCCAGAGGAGAAAGATCCCCGAGGTCACTGATATCAAGTGGCCAATAGGCATGATCAATGTTGTATCTATTTCTATACCTTCTTGATGTAAACCTCACAGTTGAAAGCTTACATTTTCATTAGATGTTTAATGAAGCAACTTAGCAGATGGAAAACTTCAGAGTCCAGTAGGTTTTCCAGTCAAAGCTATCAGCAAGTTTAAACAAAATTCGTTCTTAACTTAGTAAGTAGGTTTTAAAGGACTTGTATTACCATTCACCAAACAAACATACTCCCCTTTGTCCTCATAAATGATGAAGGGACAAGGTATGATAGTTAGAACTGTGATCAGGAGATTAGAGATATGCAGACCAGGTATCAGGGCATAGAAATGCAGAGGTAAAACTGTTGCTGTATTATGTTTATATTTCCTTGGTAAGACATGAAATGTCAGAGAGCTCTTCGGGGTACTGCGGGCTTCTAAGCGCCCCCTGTCTCTACCTTCACCCTGACCTACAGAGAGCAGTCTCGTTCTAGAAATGTGATGGTGGTGAGCTCATCATACGTGATATGTATGCTACGACTATATGTGTAATGCACATTTTATAGTAAATAATTTTGCCTCTTTGCTAATTTTTTTCTTTTGAGGTTAACTTAGAAGGCTTTGCTTTTTTAATACTGAGTTCTTTTGAACCATACGCAAATAAGTAAATAGTTACAACTTTGTTTCTGCTCTGTTTTTGTATTTGTACATGTCATTCACCGCATCTGATAAAATACACACAACCTATATGTCTCCCTCTCTCTTTTTAAGTTAACCAACAGATTTGTTACATTGTATCATAGATTCAAAGAAATATCTTTTCCGGAAGTGGGCACTCTACCCATGATCACAAGTCCCTCATTATTGATAGATAGCGAAGCACACGAGGACAAACAGAGCGCTTCATGAGGAGTTCATTTAATAGATAATTCAATGTAATAATTAGAAGGCTCATTTAAAAATTGTGTAGCCCATTAGGTTACAGGCATGTTGGCTGTCATTATTTTATCTTTTAAGACCACTGCTATTTCATGAACACCCAGCTTAAGTACAAAAGGATTCACCCCGTTGAACTCCTTGGCAAGTTTTGTGGCGTTGGTCAAGATTCCAAGTCTTTGGTTAGCTTTTTTTTCCTTCAAAATGTTTGTTTTCCAGGAACTTTTCTGCCAAGTTTTCCTTAAGTTTTGAGTATTGTACTTCTATCAACCATCGAAGTACATTGTTAAGAGTGTCTTCTTGAGAGCAGAGTCCACAGTCCGGGAACGGAGAACTCATGGTAGTGTTCAGTTTCTTTGGGGCCTGTCAAGAGTGTGCTTCCAGGAAGTAGCCGTGGCTTAGTTATTAGCAGCATGCATATGGAAGGTGGCACGGTTTGTCCTTGTGCTCGGAGTACTTAGGCTTTAGGATCACATTGGTGTCAAATCATATTTCTAAAGTTATATTTTGCCGGCGACCCCTGTGCACTTTTCTGAGTAGATCTCAGCTGTGCTGCCTTAACTCTCCTCCCTAGGGAGGCAAGAGATGGCAGATGGGGGTAGGGGCAGAGGGCTGATGATCTGACAACAAACGCCCGGTTGTTGAGTGGAAGCTGTAAGCGTCAGAAAGCTACTTTTCCCTTGAGAACCAACTAACCACCGAAGAAAGTTGAAAATGAGCCCTTTGAGAAAGGCTATTAAAAGTAGTAAAAAATTGCAATTGTGCAGATGATGTGCTGCTGTGTGCTTATTCGGATGCTAATGAGTTTGACTTTAGGGAACTCAGAGGGTTTACAGCTACTCCCTTATGTGACTCAGTTCTTTATTGGCAATCTTTGAGAAAATAAATGGAAAATGTATTGCTAATAAATACATAACACGATAGGGTATTAGACAAAAAGCCATTACTTTTAGGATTTAGAAAGAGCTTTGTTCACCAGCCTGCCTGTTTTCCAGGATCTTTTTGTTTTAGGTTAGTGCATGGCAAACAAAGGGAATAGGCAGGTGGGAAGCTTCAGAACTCCTTTGGAAGGGAGGGTGGAGTAGAATAAGCACGCACAGGAAAAGAAAGCCTCCTTCCTTCCCCCTCTTTGCCATCAAACACCAATGAAGACTCCCTAACTACTGTGCTCCCTTCCAACCCTGCAGTATGTGCAGGATCTCTTCTGTCATGTGAGAGCGTTTTGTCCCCATTCCTCCTCAGGAACTACAGCTGCTTATTTGAGTTAAAGAAGCATCTGCTTCAGGTCTGGCCAAAGTGGTAGAGCTTTCCCTGTTTACAAAGCTGTGCACCGCCACATTCTACAAGGGGTGACCCACAGCCCGTAGGGCTTCTTCAACATGCTGCTCAAAAGACCAGCACTGCCAACCAGAAGTATGTGAAATGTACACTGATTTATATATATATATATACGTGTGTGTGTATATATATATATATATATGTATATGTATATGTATATGTATATATGTATGTATATAGTAGTATTTGTATAAATAGCCATTCTCTAGTGTGTTGAGGGCACTACACTGATTTTTAGAGTTTTCTCTCCAGTGCCAAATGGCCTGAAAACTAATTCTGTGCTCATCCCCTGAGGCCAAATCGAGGTGATAAAGCTCTGTGTATTATGACTGAATGAAAAGTAAACAAAGAGTAAATTGTTTCCATGGAAGGCCTGTTAAAACATTGGCCTAAATACTTAGTAACATTTTATGATGCTCTCATTAAAAAAGCCCACCTAAATAACAAAAGGATACATTTGAATCCATCTTTTGTGACTTATTGAACATAGCGCATTCCAAGTCTTGTCAAAACTTTTTTTTTCATTTCAGTAGTTAAATATAATAACAATAATAGAGTTCTGCTTGTCTAATTTCCCTACTGAATTGAAGATGTAATAATAGTCGTTCAGTCAAAATGAAAACAAATCCTACTTACGTTAAAAATGTAAAATGTTGTCCTTGATAGGTATGATAAAATTTTCATCCTGTTTTAGTATAAGCTAATGAATGTATAGGTAAGAATGTTGATGCATTGTCATTTACAATCATGTTTATTGTTACTCTTCTATTTCATTTATTCTTTTATTTTAATCCAACACAATTTTATTTATTTTCTCATTTGCTTGTCTGGGTTTTTTTTATATTTATTTTGCCTTTCAGGTTAACATGTGAGGCAACTTCAAAAATTTCTGGAAAAAAATATTTTGTCTTTAGCCTCATTCTCCATCAACATTTTGAAGCCCCTTTGTAGGTGGCTTACCCTCTAGCTAGTGATTTCCCTCTCCCCCCAAAGAGTACAGGGTGTAGTGTGAACACCTCTAGTGGGAGGTTCTTTAGGGTGGAAACCTCTTTGTCGTGTTTTCTAATAACTGGCCATGCCATCAGGACCAGAATCCCATGCAGGTTGTGGCTGACCAGACTTTACTTTCAACTGCTGATCCTTCAATCAATAAATATCATTGAACACATGTGTATGTGACAAAAATATAAAATAATAAGGGTCTCATACAATATTTGTGGTTTTATGATTAATTTATTTAACTCACTATAATGTCTGTTTTTTCTGATATGTTTTCCTTTTAAAAATATATATAACTTTTATCTTCATAGAATGAATTCCAGGATTTCTCACTAAGCACAGACATTTGGTTACCCTGACAAAGTAGGACATACCAAGTCGGCACACAAGGTACCTGGAACAAGAAAGGTAAAGCAACCTGTTGATTTAAAAAGCATGTATTTCAGAATTAATTCAGTCAAAGTATTTATACAAAGATTTCCTCTTCAACAAGACTTTACCTCTGTGGGTCATCTTTAAAATAAATGTGTTGTTAGTGCTGGACGTAGAATTGTGATGATTTTTGTCAAAAGCATTGTGAAATAAATGCACATATAAGAATATTAAACACTCAAGGTCTTCTAAGTTTACAAACTCCTCTACCTAGTGATTGGTGGGTGTTATTTGCTTACAGTGTTTTCCCTTAAAGAAAGATTTGGTGTTAAAATAGTTTTAAAATCCAATTTTAATTCATTAGAATTAGAAATAAGTTTAGTTAAGGATTAAGGGAAAACATAAGATATATTTTAAATGCACTGTAGATGATTTCTATAGTGAATTCTTACAAACACTGAGATACTAGGAACTGAGTTTTCATCAAATAAACCAAACCAAACCATATCCAGTGCCTTCAAGTTAATTATGTCTCATAGAGGCCATATAAAAGACAGGGTAGAGTTGCTCCTTAGGGTTTCTAAGACTATAAATCTTTACAAGAGTAGACAGCCTTATCTTTTACCTGTGGAGCAACTGGTGGGTTTGAACCACCAACATTGTGGTTAGCAGCCTAATGCTTAGCCCCTAGTGCCACTGGGCCCCTTTCCTTGAGTAAAGCCTCCATAAAATAACTTGCCTCCACATGAATAAACTTGCTGTCTAATAGTTACAGATGTTATTGCAGATATACCTCAAAAGATCAGGTAGAACAAAACTAAAGATCATTTTATGGTGTTACTTGTTCTGAAGTATCATTAAATATGACATGTTAAGGGGGGGGCTCTCCTAAACATAAACTGGCAAATGTCCCCTAATGCCACAAAGCTATGACTCTGATGCTGTGGCACAGTGACTAATAGAAATCCTTGGCACACGTCCTTGACTTAAGGGAATAATAGAACTATTTGCTGGAGTCATTTGGCAAAGGGACACAAACATATGGCTTTGGTTTATATTCAGTACTGCCAGTTGTGTGAAGTCACAGGATGAAGGATACAACAGCAATCATAACTCAGAAATCAGACGTAAGAATCAAGTTGCATCATGTTCATCATTAGGCTACCTGAGCTTGTCTCAAGTCTAAGGTCATTTTTATTTTAATTGCAATGCATTTCCACGTCTCTAGGAAACCCCTTTGACAGAGGCCTCATCTGTGGGGGATGTGTATTTGCTTCCCTCTAAGGAAGAGCGAGAGAAGGAGACTCAGTCTGATAGCCAGTGGAAGCTGCTGCCACCTTAGGCTTAGTGTTGGCAGGAGGAGGGACTAGGAGAGAAAAGGAAAGTTATCCTGAATTTAAAGTGCACATATGATTTGGGCCTATACAGAATCAAGGAAGGACATTGAGAGACAGCACCAATACAGAGGTGACATCACTGATTAAAAATAAAACAAAAACAATTTGTTGTCATCGAGTTGGCTAACTCACGGTTTTCTGGGTGTTTCAGAGAAGATATGCTTCAGAGGGTTTTCAATCATTGTGATCTTTCAGAGGGAACTTGCCAAGCCTCTTTGGTGAGGCACCTCTGGGTAGATTTGATTCGCAGTGTTTTTTTTTTAAACATTTTATTAGGGGCTCATACAACTGTTATCGCAATCCATACACACATCAATTGTGTAAAGCGCATTTGTACATCATTCTCAAAACATTTTCTCTCCACTTAAACCCCCAACATTAGGTCCTCATTTTTCCCCTCCCTCCCCACTCTCCCCTCCCTCATGAGCCCTTGATAGTTTATAAATGGGTATTTTGTCATATCTTGCCCTGTCCAACGTCTCCCTTCACCCACTTTTCGGTTGTCTGTCCCCCAGGGAGGAGGTCACACACAGTTCCTTGTAATCGGTTCCCTCTTTCCTACCCATTCTCCCTTTACCCTCCCTGTTTTGCCACTCACAGCACTGGTCCTGTAGGGCTCATCCTCCCTGGATTCCCTGTATTTTCAGTTCTTATCTGTACCAGCATACATCCTCTGGTCTAGCCAGACTTGCAAGGTTGAATTCGAGTCATGGTAGTGGGAGCGGGGAGGAAACATGTTTTGGGTTGCTCCAATGTTGTCTTGAGAACAATATTGGGCCATGATGCTGAAAAGAATGGACAATCGGCTTACGCGAGTCTTTGTTCTTCAACCTGGCTAAACTCACCCAAAAGTATTGGCCCCATCTAGCTGTTCTGGGCTTAGCCTTTGACAACTTCCTAAGCTTTGTGGGGTTTTATGGTCATTCTTTTCAAAAACTGATTTTTGAACGTGAGGAATCCACTGAACCTAAAGGACTCGACGTTTGGTGGATCCAGAGACTAGTTCGCATCCATGTAAGTTTCTTGGGCTCTTGCCAGATTTCTCCAGGATCGAAATGAGTCCTCCCAAAAGTGATGTGACACACGACAGAGAAACCACCCCTCCCCTTCACAGTTACAGGAGAGACACACAGTCTCATCCTTCTAGAAGGGGGAGCATTACGTGTTGTGGGTATGTAGAAGAATTTTTCAAATTAAAAGTGTTGATCTGATGAGACTCTATCTTCAACTCATAGCCGGCAAGTTGCTTCTGACTCTTAGTGACCCTATAGGACGGGGCAGAGCTGCCCCTGTGGGTTTCTGAGGTTGTAACTCTTTATGGGAGTAGACAGTCTCTTTTTTCACCCACTGAGGCTGTGTATACCCAGGCAATAGGAAGAGTCATTGTGTAAGATTTTGAGCAAGTGCGGCTAGTTATAAATATATATTGAGCTGATCGGTGTCTCAAGTTCTGTGGAAAGAAGGAAACCAAAGGTCCGCATCTCCGCTGTTTGGTTGATTCAACTTCAAAAAGTGATTCTTAGGTCCTTACTTAGAGAAAATCTTGCTTTTACCATTGGGGTAAATTATAATTTTGAGTCAGCAATGAACTAAAGGGAACTAATTACACTCACAGACCAATGATTTCTTCACATGAAACAAAATTGAATTTATGGGTTCTAGGACCTGCTCCTGACTCTTACCTTCCCGCAGGCCAGCATCCCAGGATGTCCTCTTCCGCTTCCACATGAAGGACACAGAGAGGTGTCCTGTACTGATATAGATCTGATATCAGTCCATTGCCCTTCTGATGTAAACATCCATAAAGTAAGAAAGGCAAGATGTTTAGCTGTGC